AACAAAGCACCCCGAAGAGATGTAAATCCGACCATGCAACCTCCATGCGGTACATCTCGGGTAATGCTAATGCCGGCGGTATTGTTAGAAAAGACTGATCATACATATTGCAGGATGTTTGGAATTGCAGTTAAAACCTCGCTAAGTTACTACTGCCATCCCTGAAATTTTCAAAATGGTCAAAATTTTCTAATTGTCAAAATTGAATTTTCCCGCCAAAAGTGAACGCAGCGCCCTCTATGCGTAGTGTTTTGGATTCGTCTCGAAAAGACCTTTCCAATGAGCCCCCACTCGACCTATGTTGCCATTTAAGATTTTCGACCTCCCTCGTGCCCCACGTGCCCCCTTAGGGGTGGGGGGGTTGTAACCCCCTCAAAAGATAGATTTTTTGAAAAATCGTTTCACGTGTTTCAGCGTTTTTTTTAAATACCAATGGTTTTTGAAATATTTGACTGTTCCGGAACTTTTTCCCATCACTTTATATATATGTTACGTTGCAGTATAAAGTACATTATATTATACTCGCGAAATAAGGATCTCAAGGACAAGAGGTCTTCTTCTTCTTGTTATTAGCCCCGCAGCCTACACAGGCTGATACTGGGCCATTGAGGTCTACGTAAATTGAGCAAATCGTAATTGGGAGTGCAATGCACCGGCCACCTCGAACCGGGCGAGTAATAGACTGCAAAATATAAAGGATGATGCAATCAAAATATGGTGAGGCGCCCCTTCAAACACTGGACGCCTGCGGCTACGACGCTTCCACGCCGCACGGCCGCACGCCAAGACGGATAAAAGGACTATCGAAATTGAAATATAACGGCAAAATATAGGCAAGGTGACGCAACACCCAAGACGAGAGGGAACACGTCCGATCCGCTCGAGTGGTCTGACAATACTACATGCATCAAGATTTAAGACATCACATACGACACACCAATTAATGCACACAGTGTACTGACATAATGCTTGCTTGGCGTTATCACAGCGTGCCATTTCAAAATATGTTTCAAATTGCACGCTATGATAGCGCCATGCAAGCATTATCTGCTTTATCGATACAAGATGACACAGGGATTGCATTTCAACTGCATGATATGCTAAGCACAGCATGCTGGCATGTGATGTTATCTGGGTATAAGACTCGATCATATTAGTCGCACGCGTGCCTGCACAAAATGCCCGCACAATGATCGCTTGGTGGGCGCACACGTGCGAATACTCTCACGCAAATGACTCTCATAACGCACGCAGATGCATTCTCATTTAAGACTTATATAGCTCGCACGCATGCTGACACTACAGTTTAATATTAAAAAAAAAAGATATATTATTCATATTTAAGGTTTACAAATTTACGCATACCCTTTTTACGTCGTGTAGGCAGCATGATAATAGCATGCATAATGCACGGTGTGTGCACGGCGTGATACGCACGGCGTGATTGCATAATGCGATTCATTGCGCTCGCACGCGTTGCCTCATCACGTTGTGCGGGCAGCATGATAATAGCACGGTGGACGCACGGCGTGATACGCACGGCGTGATTGTATAATGCGATTCATTGCGCTCGCATGCGTTGCCTCATCACGTTATGCGGGCAGCATGATAATAGCTCGGAGGACGCACAGCGTGATTGCATAATGCGATTCATTGCGCTCGCACGCGTGCTCCCATCACGTTGTGCGGGCAAAGTGTATTATAAGTGCAAAGTGTGGGCACAATGTGATACGCACGCGTGAGGGCAATATGAGCTCGCACGAATTTCTATCTGGGGTGGATCGCTCCTACTACATAGAGCAGATTGCTTGTACTGTATCAGAGTACACTACCCTTGAAAACAAAACGTCTCACACTACAAACTATTACGTCCCAATTCAACAGGATGAGGCGAGAGACAGTAAGTTTATTCAAGTTTCATAAATTTTTTTTATACGTTATGTATTTTTTTTCTAAGATCTATTTACATGTTTTCTTTTTTCTACAGCCCATCTTCTCATACATCTTCGAAACCTCGCTACGTACGTTACATCTTGATGAAGAGATATGCATTAACATTGACAGCGTACAAGTTCCTGAACATTTTGGAATCGTCGTGGGGCCTACGTCTTATGTACAAATTGAGATCGGTGACAATCGAGTCACTCGCATGATCCTGACTCATGGTACATAGAAGGCGTTCATCGAGAGATGTGCAGATATTGAGCGATTAATGCAGGCAATAATTCCATCATCATTATCATTATCATCATTATTGATTCAAGATCTGAATCATGACGTAGGAATACCAGTTGTTCCGTTCCCGTGGTTGCGCAGTAGCAGCGTGAATCTAGGTAAAAATTTGATTGGCTATTCCAATATACCAGCGCTATTATATGCAGGAGAGTCAATGTAGACAAAAATTTGATTGGTTGTTTCCAGTATTGCTATCGTCATTATGCGCAACGGAATACCTGGTATTCTTATATCATGATCTGAATGTGGAACTTGTTAAAATAAGTAATACGAATAACGTAAAATTAGCAGTAGGGGAAGCTTGGGCGGTGTGGATGTGTTAAGGTCTGGGAAGAAAAATGACATAGTTAAAATTAAGATCAGAAACTTTTTTTATTCTTATGTCTTCATTAGAGTATAAACTTTAAAATAAAATTTTAAAAAATGCAAAACCTGAACATATATATATTGGGTATGGGAATGAGTTTCCGCCCTTTTTGAAAAGAAAAAGATGTGTTTATTTAAACAAATCTATATAAGTGAATTTATTCAAAGTATGCTCCTTCGGAAGTGACAACTTTCTCCCACTTTTCCGGTAATAAACGGATTCCTCGAATGAAAAAATCTGGTTCTTTTGAAGCGATCCATTCATCAAGCCATTTTTTGATATCTTCATAAGAATTGAATCGTTCTCCAGAAAGGGCCGACTGCATGGATCGGAACAAATGGAAATCTGAAGGAGCAATGTCCGGTGAATACGGCGGGTGGGGCAGAATTTCCCACTTTACTCCTTCCAAGTATTTCTTGACCGGTTTTGCGACGTGAGGCCTAGCGTTGTCATGTAACAGAATCAGCTTGTTGTGCCTATTGTCCCATTCCGGTCGTTTTTCTTTCAAAGCTTGGTTTAAACGTATCAGTTGTAGTCGATAACGATCGCTAGTGATGGTTTCGGACGGTTTGAGCAGCTCATAATATATAACACCTCTCTGATTCCACCAGATGCACAACATAATCTTCGAAGCATGGATATTTCGTTTTGGCGTTGATGGACCTGGTTTACCTGGCATCACTCATGCTTTCAAGCGTTTAGGGTTATCGTAGTAAACCTTTCCTTTGTTGTCGTTGACGAAGCATCTCGCAGATGACCAAACGTCTTTCCATGTCTCTCTCTTTCAATTTGTATGGCACCCAATTTCCTTCTTTTT